CTGAAACAGAGAGTAGAGTCAGCGCTAATCTGTTAGGAAAAGGAAAAATGCAGCAGTCCCAGACAAGGACTCCCTCACGTATCCTTGGAAAAAATAGACAAAAGCAAATAAGTAAGGGATGGGTCTGCACCAGTAAACAAGGTTAATAAATAATTACAGTCCTGGTTAGGATAGTGTTGATAAAACAGAGTTCAATAGAGTAGAACTTGGATCCTATTTTTGTGAGGTTCTGCTCGTTGCTGTATCCAAATATATAGAAGAGAGTGATGGATGATGAAAAGGATGATGATACAAGGTGATCCAAGAAGTGTCAAAAATATAAAAATAGGAGAGGTCTTACTTACAGTTGGCAGAGCTTAATCCAGCTCTGGTGTGAATGGCTTGCAGCGGTATTATCCCCGCTTATAGGATATACGGTGAGTGTCCTCTTCTATGCAGTGACAGACAGCCAAGTGGGAGATAAAAATGGAGACAATAATGGTGCAGTAAGTTCCACAAGTTAAGTAAAATATGTTAAAATGTAGTACATACACTCACATTGAATAGAGCTTCTACTAGCTCTAGTGTTGTAGGCATACAGCGGTATAATCCCTGCTTGTGGGATATATGATGAGTGTTCTTGGAGATGGTATCAGGAGCTCAGAGAGAAGATAATAAAACAGCAATAGTGCTCTCAATAAAAATATTGTTGGTGTATAAAATATAATAAAATATACTCACAGTGTATAGGGCAGACTAACTGCTCTATGACAGGGGCATAGGTGGTATAATCCCCACCTGGGATTCTTTGGAGTATAGTACAAATTAAAAAAAAGAGGATCCTTGGATGAAGACCACTGTCATTTGGTGTGGGATACCCCTTGCATGTGGGGCGAGCTTTCTGTACCTGGAAGACAAAGAGACTGTTGTACCCTTCATCTCGACTGATTTTTGGGTATGTGTCTGACGACCGCTGGATTTACTTTCAGGCGGCACTTTGAGTTTTGGGGACGCATGAGTCAGCGCTCCAGGCTGCGTGCTATAATCACTAAGCCTTAGCCATTCGGGAGCATACAAACGAACGAGTAAACAAAATACCAGCGTTCGTTACAACTGCATTTCCTCTTTACTCAACAAATACATCCCTTCTTGTGCCCTTCACTCTACAAATTACCATCTCCTGAAATAAACTTGTTCCCTCACTGCCAACTCTCATCTGCAGAATTTCTCAAGGGTTGCCCCATTTCTTTGGAATTCCCTACCCCATGCCAGGAGACTCTCCCCTATTTGTCAGTCCTTTAAGAAGTCACTGAAAACACACCTCTTTAGGAAAGTGTGACAGAACATCTGGCACCCCAACTGGGTACATCCGCCAATCGATGCTTCCTAGCTGATGCTGAGGACCATAAGTACCACATAAGTACCGTAGACCCCAAGAACCGCCGTAGCTCCAGGGACTCAGTGGGAAGGCCTCTCCTCCAAAAGAGTATAGCAGTGAAGGTCTTATAAGAGCTAGTGGTATAGCTGTATAGCGGTTCCCTACAATCACGAGACCAGGCTACGTGTTGAGGGTTAAGCAGGAATGGTTAAATGGTAGCCACACTGGCCTTTTACGCAAGTCCCCAAGCAAGGTGTATGCCCACATGGACCTTGTTGGGGACAGGGACACAAACTGACAAACCAATAAGAACAGTGATTAAATGAACGACACTCCCACATACAATACAATAAGCCTTCCCCTTTACTGAGATAATTGAGTCAAGCACTATACTAAATTCAATTATCTCCAAACACAAAAAACACACATTTTTACAAAAAAAAACAAAATACCTTAAAACACATAAAATCCCCATAAAAGTTACATCCCCTAATAGCCCTGATCTGGGTGACCAACATATCCAAAAATCATCCTGATCCGTTCAGGGGTTCAGAAATTTTATTGAAGTCATAGTTTTTACCGATTACAGGCATGGTCCCATAACCGAAAATAGTTCCATAGAATCGCGGCTAAGTGCCGCTGGAGGACCGACTGTGAAGGATTTTCATGTATTTCATGCCTTCAGTTAAACCTTCTCCCTGCTGTTTAAATGCCTGTATCAGTTGGTTACACTATGTATTGAATGAATGTATTCGTTTACCGAACAGAGACCACACACCTGGCCCAGAGGAGGAGTTTTTTGTGTTGCATAAATTGTGAGTTCTGTGTGCCAGTAAATCAGTCTTGTTCCAGCATTAAGCTTTGGCTCATGTGTGGATTATTCAGCGATTCCAGGGATATTTCTACTTGTGGAAATATTGGGTGATTTCTTTTATGGGAAGAAGGGAATGCTTGACTGTGATACCCTATACTACCGTCACAACTGGTGGCAGCGGTGGGATTTTCCCTTCTACTTTCCTTTGCACCAGGATTCCAAGCAGACACTGGGAACAGTTAATGGAAGGCTGGTACACCCTGCTTAAAAGAAATACACTTAAAGAACTACTAGAAGCTCGTGGAAGGATTGCTAGCAACAAAACCAAGCGGGTCATTATAGCAGAGTTAATGGAGCTAGACCGAGAGAACTTGGTTGCAGCAATGCCAGCTGTGCAGGAGATGGAGACACCAGTGATTCAGGAGGAGGAATCACCAGCCAACAAAGAGATGAGGGAGAAACTAGCATGGTTCGGTCCGAACCCAACGGCTGACATTGTTCTGAAAGTAATGAACCTTGTAGCGGAGGAGGCTAAACAAAAAAGAGACGCAGAT